TTGTGTTAGTAAGAATCAAGAGGGTGAGGTATGAGTTGCCTTTCTCGCTATAATCTAAATTCTAGTGTTGATTCTGATTGCTTTCCACCTAACCTTTAGGGATGAGATCATCTATGCAGCAATGTTATTTATTAGAAGCACTGAAAGGAAAGGAAGTGAGAGAGTTAATTTTGGAGTTCTGGCTGCTTGGGGAGGACTATGGAGATCATTCTGGATAGCCAGAGGATAGCACTGGGTAGGGGAATAAGAAAATGAGGTTCTAGAGGGCTGGGAGAAGGATGCAGAAAGAATGTGGAAAAACATCAGTGAAAATTTGCAAATCGTAGAGGAAGGGCTTACTTTTCCCCTTCTTCCTAAAGACAAAGTAAAAAGCAGCATCTCTATTTTGGGCAGGGCGGGTATTGGGAATGGAAGCTCTCTGCTACTGAGCCACCAGTTCTTTTTACTTTGCTAAGCTGTCCAGGCTGGCCCTGAATTTGACAATCCTCCTGTCTCAGTCTCCCAAGCAACTTGGATTACAGGCATATGCCACTATGCACAGCAACTTCTCTCTGTAAAATTGGGAGGATACCACACAGAAAGAATTATTCCAATATAATAGTGATAATTATTATACTGCAGAATTCCTATATACCAGGCTCTGTTCAAATTAAGAAGCTGGTAACAACCCTAAGAGGTAAGCACTGTTATCTTCATCTTACAGGTGAGGCAGATGTGCTATTATCTTGGCCTCAGGTCTGCAGCTTCTAGGGTTGTACATTGGAGAGGACAGAGAAAAGAAGTAGCTTCTTTAGCTAGAAGCCTTCCACCTCCCACCCCAACATAACTGGCCTGGGAAGGACAAACAAAACTAAGCTGGGGGGTTTCTGTCACATGGAGAACACAAGCCTTCCTGAGGGGGCAGGGAAAGAGGGACATTCCCTGACATCACCCATGAGAGAACATGAATATCATCTACGGCTTTGGTCTGTCTCTAGCCATAGATTTTAAACTGGAAGGGAGTTGGTGTGTATAAGGAAGAATCATGGTATAGACACTGAACTTGGAGTCAGGAAACTTAGGTCTGGACTTCACAGGTGACCTTGAGCACCTGTAAATTCCTTTGGGCTGCACTGGGCTCAATTATAAAAATGAAGGCATTGGGGTAGAGTTAAACCTCTGAGGTCCTTTCCAGCTTAAAAACTGTATAATTTCCAGAACCTGGTTGTTGGGTGTGACAAATTATGATCTCTCTCTCCCACCACATATGTTCCAGAGCGTGGTGTTTTGGGTATAAATATGCCAATGTCTGCTGTCTGTACGTGTGTGTTCCAGCTATATGACTACAACTTTTTGTTTGTGGGTAAACAAGGGATGCTTCATGGTTTTCTTCAGGAAAGACCAAATGGCTCTGGGAGGCAGAAAACTCTACGATCAGTGATTCAAGTCATGGTGAGAAAGCAAATGATTCCAAAAAAGGTTTGAATCTGTAATCATTCATTGTCAGTTATTTTTGTTTTTCTATTCTTTTTGCAACCAAATACAATTAAATCTTGACATTAGTCCTGTAAGATGGCACAGGTTTTTACAGAAGAAGCAAACGAAACTCAGGGATTAAAGAACTTGTTCAAGATTACACAGCTCATTAGAGCCAGAGCCAGAACTGAGATCTCATGCTGTTGAAACCTGGCTTGTGTGTTCTTCTCAATACTATGTGGGGTGTGAGAAGACAGTCTATGCACGGGACACAGTTGGAGGGGCCGTGGTTTTTAGAAGGCAGAGTGGAGGATGCTCCAGCCAGTAAGCTGCAAAGTGGATGCCAGGCTGACTTGCCTGCTATGTTCCCACTCTGCACTTACTGGCTGTAGCATCCTTTCATTCAGAGCAGAGCCTCACATGACTTAAAGATAAAGGCCATTTTTAGGAGCCATGAACTGGGATTAATTAGAATGGCAGAGGGCAAGGATGAGAAGCATTAACTTTCTAGAGTTGACTAACTTTCTCCCAGGGCTCCCGGCTATAAAATAGGGATGTGATCATACCCTCACACAGAGTTGTGAGGATCAAAGGCAATGATTGGGTTGAAGTGCCTCTGAAAAGTCACATATACATTTGCTCTTTCATTCAACCAATCAACATTGATTGAGCACCTACAATATCCCAGGGATTGTTAGGAACTGGAGGAATATATATATATATATATATATATATATATATATATATATATAAAATATACATATAAACAGCTCAGAATCACATTACATATTATCTCTCTTCTCATCCTCTTTTTGTCCCTTCTTGTCTAGGACCAGATAATGGGAGATGGGCCCCGTTGTCCTACCCAATCCCCCAGCTTCTGTCCCAGAGAATTGCAGCTATGGCTAAGCCTCCAGGTTTAAATTCCATTGGCAGAGAAATCCCTCAGCTGTAGCGCATTCAACAAATCATCCATTCACTTCCTCTGAGCCAGGCAAGGTTATAGGTGCTGGGGATACATGGTAAATGAACAAAGTCCTGTCCCTTGTAGAGCTGTCAACTGGAAAGTTGGGCCTTAAATCAACACCCAAATAAATATATACTCACAAATCATAGTGAAGGTGGCATGAGGTGGGGAGGGAGGAACAGAACCCAGTTTAAAGGCCTCTCTTTGGAGGCATGAGAATAGTCTGTGGAGGAGCCCTCTGGGCAGAGGAAACAGCTCTCTAAGTCAGAGGCCCCTGAAGTAGGAAGGAACACAGTGTCTTCAAAGATGTGACAGGAAAGAAGTGGGGCAGAGCCCACAGCAAGCAGGACGGTGGTTCTCCATGAGATTGGAGTAAGAGGTAGGGGCAGGCCACTCTGGGTCTTGGGGACAGAGGTACGGAATCCACTGTAAGTATACTCTGCTTTGAATGCCTTCTGCTCTCTCTTCCCAATGCAGTGAAGAAATGAGTTGGCTTGTTCAGTTCGATTTTACTGGCCTTTGCTTCTGATGAACAGTTAGAGATTACATGGAGAAATCTGGCATAGCACTAACCACCAAAAATAGTCAACATTAGGTCCTCCTCATTTGCCAAGTCACCTTGAAACTCATCTGATCCAGAGCCAATGGAACTGGATGGGTGTAAAGGATTTCACCCCCACTCCTTGTACTGATCACAGATCTACAGCAATAAATTCACTAATTCACTGTCACTGTGCCTGCTGCATAGGGACTCAGTTTGCTTAGATGACCTATGTCAATGGGGGTAGTGTATTGACTTACCACTTAAAACCTAGAAGAGGAGGTAAATACGTGCAAATAACTGTAATAAATAGAAGAATGTAATAAAAGCCACAAGAGTAGTAACGGGCAGGTATTATGGAAATAATAAGACTCTTTCAGCCACTGTGCTCTCCTCTGCAAAGGAAACCAACACCACAAACACTGCCTCCCTTAGGGGATCACAGGACATGAACCCAGAGAGAGACAGGGGCTCACTGCCTGCAAGTGGTGATGCAAAATGGTACTTTTGGTGCTTGTCTGGGAAGAAAGTTAGCAATATGGAATAAGAGTTTTGAAAAATATTCTATTTGACCCAAAAATTTCATTTCCAGGAATCTATCCTTAGACAAAAATCAGATTTGTTCAAAGATTTATGCATAATTACATTATGGTACATCATCATGATGGAGTAGTATCTGAATAAAGTTTCAGAAGCAAAGTGGTGACTTTTGGCAAGTCTCAAGATATCATTTTAAAGAGTTGTGCCAACGAATCGTTACAATGTAATAGGATAAATGTTTTGCCAGATGACGATGAAATGGGAACAACTGGGGGTGAGAAGAAAGAAGTGTCTCAGGAACTGACTTTCGAGGGGACTCTCAAATGCTGTGGAGGGGGTTCCAGGTGGAAGGGAAAGGACCAAGTGGCCACCCCCACATTCTGAGGAATGGGAATGTAATACACTTCTTGAGAAGGCTTGCAGCAGCCATACCTCTCATCCGCCGCCTTGCCAAGCCCGTTGTCTTCCTGTAAGTGAGTTGGAGCACCAGGGTGGCCATCAGTATGGGTGACGCCCTCCCACTGGAGGAGGAATGCGGCAGCAGGCTGGGTCGCCAGGGGCTGGAAGCAACGCTCAGCCCAGGGCCTGCGGGTCAGGCCTCCCGCGAGCGAAATAAGTCTCACGGCCAACGTGGCCTCTCGGTGTAGCTCTTCCTGCAGCGCCAAAAACCACCCGCAGTCTACTACCCAGCGCGCAAGCGCAGTGGGCCGAGGAACAGGCGGTGTGAAGTTTCACACCTAGAAAGATGGAGGGTGAATGAGGCCTACCTGGTTTAAAAGCCCTACTGGGAGGTAAAGGGCCAAACCCAGCAGGGAGAGGGCACAGAGCTGGAGCTCCCCTTCTGCTTGGTTCTCCCTGCCACAGGTCTCCCAGGCCTCCAGCCCTGCTCTCTTTGGTCCTGTCCCTGGCTCCCTCAGTCGGCCTCCCCCGCAGCAACCCCTTTCGGATCCCCTCTCTAGCCCCTGAGGCATCCTTCTGCTCTGTCCCCTACCTGGTTTCTAAGGGGCAGAGATGGGGTGGTTTGAGGGCCAGTGGCTGCGGGTGGGGGCGGGGGAGGACAGAAGTCCCTGGCCTACCTGCAAGCCCCGCCCTCTGACCCTGCATTGGGACACCTGCCCTCCTTAAACAGTGGAGGATTTGGTCTGAATTGTTTCTTCCTTGGCTGTTGTGGATCTTCCTGATTCTGGACCCAATCTTTAAAGGGGTTGGGGCCACCCTGGTCTTTCAAACTTAGTCATCATGAACTTGGACATGAGTGGGGCTGTTTACTTAAGGTAATAGGAGCTCTAGACAAAATCAGGTCCTTCCATGGCTTCCTCTACTTGCTTATGCCTCTATAGTCTGTGGGGTCGCTGGAGGTCTGGGTAAATGGGGGATCCTGAGAAATGTAAGGGAACGATGTCTTCTCTTTAAAATTCCTTTCTGATCACTTGCACTCTCCTGGTAGTCAGAGTATCAGCTCACTACTGTCTTATTCTTGTCCCTTTGGCCTAGAGTATGGCTCATGTGGATGAAGCAGCCCGCAGGTTGTCCAAAACTGGGACAAGTCTCTATGCAGTGCTGGAGCTTAAGAAGGGTGCCTCACCTGAAGAGATCAAAAAGGCCTACAGGTTCAGACCCCAGCTCTTTATTGAACCTTGAGATTTCCCCCACTTAATCCCTGTTCTTTCTACCTTGATTTCTGACCTATTTGTAAACCCCCCCCCCCAAGAAGTCTTTTTTTAAATATTTTTATTAGTTGTTGATGAAATTTTTTTATTTAACTATTTGTATATGGTGCTGAGAATCGAACCCAGTGCTTCACACAAGCTAGACAAGCACTCTACCACCGAGCCACAATCCCAGCCTCCCCAAGAAATCTTTATTTGAGGGACAAAGGAGGCTATCAGCCTCTTTAACATGACATGAGAAAACTTTTAGACCTTGACTACTTACCTCCATCCTTCATACCACATCTCATGCATTCCTCTGCACTAGCTAGAAACCTATCCCTGCCATTCATCCTAACCTTCCCTTCCCAGCCATTCCCTATCTCCTCCCTACCCTCCTTTTGGGTATTGCCTGGGTAGGAGACTGGCCTTGCAGTATCATCCAGACAAGAATCCAGGGAACCCTCAAGCAACAGAAGTCTTCAAAGAGATCAACACAGCCCATGCTATACTAAGCGACCCTAAGAAGCGGAAAATCTATGACAAGCATGGCTCATTGGGAATATACCTGTATGATCACTATGGGGAAGAAGGAGTCACATACTATTTTACACTGAATAGTTGTTGGTTCAAGGTACACAATTTCTTCCTAGTCTCTGACCCTCTTATCAGACAAAAGTTTCTATTGTCTCATTTTCTGGGTGTGAGGAGGAAGGAAGGAGGGGAGCTTGAGTGAAATACAGAAGAACTGCTGGATTGAGGGCTATCTTCTACCTTTTAGACACTTGTCCTCCTCTGTGCACTGCTCACTTGTTGTTGTTGTTGCTGCTGCTGCTGTTTTTGCTGTGGAGCCCTACAACCACCTTCTGAGGAGACGAGTAAGAGGAAATATCAAAAGAATGTCCGTACTCAGCCTAGGAGAGCAGGTGAGGACCATAGGCTGGGACTGAGGTCAGATCTGGATCAGGAATGAAAGAAATGGTTGGGGGTAAGAAAGACCTGTGAAAATGGCAGGTCAGCCTCTAAATATGGCAGTTTCGAGTCTGGAATTGAGGCAAAGTGAAGAAAGGGAAGGCATTTGATATTTTTCTGTGGACCTCATGCCACAAACTGACAGCTTGAATATAATGTTGGCCTCTCCTGACTGTTAAGCTAAGGAATGAGGTGGGAGAACAATAGCTGAGGACAGGTTCGAGGTTGCAGTTTATTGTATCTGCTCAAAAGAAAGATGAGCTGAGGTTGTAACTCTTGTGCAAAATGAAGAATGACATGTCTGAGATGATTCCTACCCCAAATTGTTGAAACTTTAAAATGGTGGATTGGCTGAGGTTTACACCAGTGCCACCTTGTGATGCTAATGAGTAACTGCAAGGTAATGGTTTTCTCATCTGTATATTAAAAAATCGTTAATAGGAGGACACGGTGGCGTACCCCTATAATCCCAGCAGCTCAGAAGGCTGAGGCAGGAAGATCGCGAGTTCAAAGCCAGCCTCAGCAAAAGATAGGTGCTAAGCAACTCAGTGAGATCCTGTCTCTAAATAAAATATAAAATAAGGCTGGGGTTGTGGCTCAGTGGTCAAGTGCCCCTGAGTTCAATCCCCTGTACCAAAAAAAAAAAAAAAAAAACAAACAAACAAACAAACAAAAAAAACCCAAAAATGATACTAAATGTCTACATATATAAATATGTGTATAATTCCATCATAGGAGCAAGAAATAGCTCTTCGGATGATGATGATAGTGATGATTAATAAAATATGAAGAAGATTGAGGTATGTACACTGAAAAGCAGCAATAATTAAAGAAGAGAAGCATATAAGCTAATTTGAGATGAGTCCTTGGTGGAAAGTTTATATCTTTATAGCATGGGCTCCAGATGTTTATATCCTTACATAGAGGGTTTGCTTTAAATTCTGCATGATTTTTCTTTGTGATTAATAAGGTGCCAACTTCTTCTGCCATTAGGTGCTGGCCCAATTGAGGGTGCCCTCTGCTACCCAGTCCACTGGACATTGAAGAGAGGAGCAAGTAGCCCTGTCCTGATGTTGACCCCAATTTGACTCCTCTTATAAGAACCTCTACATTAAAAGCATTGATAATGTCCATCCCAGTAAGAACACCATTGCTGCCCTCTATGGTACCACTAACTCTGGCCATATGGGGTCTCTCAGCTACTCTTCATTTTAGCCCCAGTCCTACTTTTAATCTGTGAGAGAGCAGCCCTCCCTTCCCTACCTGTATGAGGTCTCAGGCAGTGATGGCAGACTTTTCCTGAGGATTCTTTTCCCAATGACTGCCTTGGCATTTAAGCCAATGTCAGGCAGGACCCTGAACCACTTGCAGCATCTTCACTAAGATTCTGATAGTAGAGCATGGTGGGTCCTATTCCTGGAGCTGCTGCACCAGTTAATCCTTCTTTGCTGCAACTCGTAGCATCAATCAGCCTCCTTTCTAAGCCAATACATTTCTCTGAGGCTGGTGCCCATACCATGGGATTGCAGCCTCATCTATGCCACCAAAAGTCAACTTGGGAAACACATGGGTGCATTTGAGACTTATGGGTAGCCATCCCATCATGGATTCTCCCTGACATCACTTACCAGCACAGCAGCCATTGTTAGCCCTGGTTCATGGGGTTGACTGCAGTCCCCATGACAGTGCCTGCTTGCCTCTGTCCTTCACCAAATCTTGTGCATCTTATACATTTTGTTCTTAAATCAGGGTCTGAAACATGATGGGAAAAGCTTGTGCTTTACAATTGTTCCTTCCCCACTCTTGCCTCTTTGGCATCCTCTCCACACCACTTATTTCTCATCCATGCAGGGTCAGGGGCGAGGCACTTCTCTTCTCTCCCTTACTGGGGAATATCAGTAAGGGAATATTAGTAAATAAAAGAACTTTTGTGCAATCCCAGTGCATGTGTTGGGCCCAAAAAAAGACAAGTTGTGCCTGTAATAGAGAAAACGGCCAATTGCTGAAAAAGACAAGACTGGTGCTTGCATCTGGGATGAGCCCGGCATGGGAAGTAGAGTCCAGGACAGCGGTGGAGTTGGGGCCAAAGTTTCCCAGAACCTAGTGACTCCGACTTCGTCAGAGCTCTAAGATTTCCCCGGAGACTGATTCCCTGGTGCCCAAAATAGGTCCCTGGCATTCGGATCTCCCAGCTTCTCTCAGTTTCCAAGCAAATTTAAAGTCTTTGGAGTGGCCTTAGTGATGTGTTTGTGGACCAGAATCACACTTCTCCAGGGGCATGCTCATATGACCTGGTGCAGCAGCCACCTCTAGCCTCTGTAGCTGCTTTCCTAGGGTGACATAAAAAAAGGGCTGGGCAAGAACAATCACAGGCCTGAAGTTTGGGACAAGAGGCTATCTCCCTAGTCTCTGGTGCCTCTCTTCTGAATCACACAGTCTTGCGGAGGAGTGTCAGGGTCACTGGCTAAGCCTGAGGAGAAGACTGTAGATCCAGCCAGGTCTTTCCTCCCACCCTGAGCCATGTGTGGTGCTTCTCCCACAACCTGATTTAGAGACTGCCACTGACTGTATGAAGGGGCCATGCCAGAGCATAGGGGTCCAGGGCTCACAGGAGCCTTCACAATGAGAGCCAGTGAGGAACCCACACCTTTGCTGGTCACTACAATCAGTAGTGACACTTGCCCCGGTTGTTGCTCCAGGGAGTCACCCATTCCTGAGTGAGTCAGGGTCACTTACTCGGCTGACAGCTGTGGCTCGCCTTACATGAGCTAAATTGGGAGTAGGAATGTCACACAGATGCCCCTTGTCTCCCCACCCCCACGATAATATTAATCTCCTCTCTGGGGAGCAAGGGACAAACAGTGCTGCCCAGAGTGAACGAGAGTGGTTTGGGGAACAAAAGGAGAATCACCCAGGGAGGGAAGGATAAAGCTACATGTGCCTGGCAGGGACACCAAGCAAAGAGCAGACGTATCTGGAGACAGCCAGGACAGGACGAGTTTCAGAGGAAGGGACAGAAGATAGAGCTGCACTATTTTAAGAGGGAGCACCAGAAGGGAGCATAAGAACCCACAGATAGTCTGAGGTGAACAAGGGAGTGTCCAGAGGCAGTAGAGAAGGCCAGGACCAGGGCCGCAGCCAGGGCCAGCAGAGCACTGAGGGGATGAACTTCACCGTGGGCTTCAAGCCGCTGCTCGGGGATGCGCACAGCATGGACAGCCTGGAGAAGCAGCTCATCTGCCCCATCTGCCTGGAGATGTTCTCCAAGCCCGTGGTGATCCTGCCCTGCCAGCACAACCTGTGCCGCAAGTGCGCCAATGATGTCTTCCAGGTGGGCTCAGGGCAGGGGTGGTGAGGAACCCCAGAGGGTGCTGGGCAGAGTGCTCTGGGAGGTGGGTGGGGCCATGGTGGCTGAGGAGCAGAAGAGCTGGGGTCCTAGGATCCCAAAGTAAGCATGAGTCAGCATTTGCCCTGCAGGCTGGCAAGCAGAGCCTGTGCCATAGTGGCTAGAAGGCTGGCATCCACAGGGGACAGCGTACCCAGCACAAACTGGGTAGAGGTGGTCTCACACTGGCCTCTGTGGGAGCCGCACTAAACTCTGCATTCAGTTTGGGGTTTCAGATTTCGAGATCCTTGTGGAAACTCCAGAGAAGAAATCAATGAAATGCTGAAACATTCAGAATGAAATAATAAATCCTGTGACAAAGCCCCAAATAACACCAGAATTACAGTAAAGCCCAAGGCATCAGTTTTGGGGGACAAAGTTTGACCTAATGACAGGATGCTGGGATTTCTCCCCAACTTCAGCTCACACCTGTGACCCTTCTAGAGGCCTAGAGGCTAACAACTATTGAGGTCAAGACTTACAACACAGACAGAAGGCAGAGAAGAAATTCCCCAAAGTGCAGCCAGTTTTGGTTCATCTTTGGTCATAGAGCATAGTTGAGCAAAGTCACAGATATCATTTTGGTACTGATTTCAAAAATAAAAGCAGCATATACCAGAATGGTTTATAAATGGAGGTTCAAGTACAGATCAGAGGTTGGGGAGAGTGATGGGCAGTTTGTGTGTGTGTGTGTGTGTGTGTGTGTGTGTGTGTGTAGATGCATGTGTACACCCAAAACTTTGAAAATGAAATGAAAACTCTTTTCTAGATAAGAGCCATTTGGCTTAGTATGCATTTCAGTGATAAAAGCATCATAAATAAGTATTCTTTAATATTGTTAGTATGAGGAAATGTGCCAAGCACACAAGTAAATTTTTTCTTTTTCTTTCATTCTTTTTTTTTTTTTTTTGTGTGTGTGTGTGTGTGTGTATATTGTGAGTTGAATTCAGGGCCTCAAGCATGCTCTATCATTGAGCTGCACTCTAACCCCAACACAAATGATTTTTTTTTTTTTTTTGTATCAGAGATTGAACTCAGGGGCACTTAACCACTGAGCCACACACACACAGCCCTTTTTATTTATTCATTTATTTTTATTTATTTTTTGAGACAGGTTCTCATTAAGTTGCATAGGGCCTCCCTAAGTTGCTAAGGCTGCTCTCAAACTTGCAACCCTCTTTTCTCAGCCTCCTAAGTTGTTGAGATCACAGGTGTGTGAAGTGATTTTTTTTGTAATTTATTTTTTAATTTTAGATGGACACAATATATTTTTTATTTTTATATGGTAGCTGAGGATCGAACCCAGTGCCCCATGCATGCTAGGCGAATGCTCTACCTTTGAGCCACAACCCCCGCCCAACCCAAGTGATTTTTAACTTAACTAAGAAAATACTTATCTTTTAGGTTCCTTGGGGCAGATGTTTGGGGAAAAAAATGGACTAACAAACCAGGCCGTCACACATTGTTGCCATCTCCACTGGGTGTCCACCAACCTGAAGTCTCTCCTGCTATCTTCCTGTTGAGACCCCTTCTCATCTCCTTTTATTCTGAGTGTTCAAATGTGGCGTCATTTAGCTCCAGAGCCATGCCTTTCCCTCTCGGGGGGCCTAGACTGAATGCTATGTCCCCTCACCCAAGGCTTCAAGTCTTGTCCACCACCTTGGTATTTCCTTTGGTCTAACTAACTCTCTGAACATTCTTCAGGCTGAGATGCCTGGGAAGGAATTGCAGAAAGACTTTGTCACCCTTTCTTAGGAATTTATAGTGAAACATCCTCTCTTCTAATGAACCTGAAATATATGAACCAAAGAGAAGTTTGGAAAGTTAACATGTCCTCTAAAAAACTGGCCAGCATGTTAAAATACAAATCATACAGTATTATTTGACAGTAGGACCCATGAAAAGAACCTGTATACAGAGGCAAGAAGAAGTTGAAGTGTCCTCCATTATTGGAGGCAATCCTCTGTATAAGGAGCACTGTTTGGGTTCCAAGAAGCTCTAGAATACTGATATGGGCCCAGAGAGACTCGGAGATGGTCTGGGTCAAACCCTATGCAATATCAGGACACATTGGTTTGCTTCTGTAGTCCCAGCTACTTGGGAGGCTGAGGTGGGAGAATTGCTTGAGCCTAAGAGTATGAGGCCAGCTTGGAAAACACAGCAAGACAGTGGCTCAAAACCAAACAACCAACAAGCAAGCAAACAAAACTTGTGCTGACTCTTTGGGAAGTAACATGATTCCTAGGACTCAGGAATGGTTCTATGGGTCTGGAGTGGTATACAGCATTGGAAATGCAGAGCACCCCTGGACCCTCCACAAAGAGCAGAGAACATCTGCCTTCCTTGCTGCTTTATTTGGGAGGGCTTGGGGGAGGCTGACCCAGTTACCCAGCTGCAACTATGTATATGCCTCCTGGCAGAACTCAGCAGATCTCTGTCTGAAAGATGAGCATATTTAGTTTTTTCACACATTGCCTCCACATTTTGACAACTCCAGGCATAATCAGATTGTTTTCTAAGTATGGCGACAAGAATAGGACTTTGAGTTCCTCTATCTTCAAACCACTTAGGAAGAAAACCTTTAGAATATTGCCTAGAAAGTTAACAGTTATGAAAGTGACACCAGTACACCATATTTAAACTTTCATATGTACATTTCTTCCAAGCACCATAGGAGTTTATATCATGAAAAATGAATCTGCTACTTACCTCAGTCCCTCAGTTCTCTTCACCAGATAGAAGCAACCATTACCAACTTTCTTGGGAATCCTTCCAGGAAATGTTCACACTTAGGTCCATGTTTGCACATATAAACATACTTACACTGGACTAATGGCCTTGTTCACTTTGCCATGTTTGTTCCATAACCACACATTCAGCTCTCTGCTTTCCTCTTTTTTTAATATTTTTTTTTAGTTGCAGATGGATACAATACCTTTATTTATTTGTTTATTCATTTTTTTATGTGGTGCCAGGGATCAAAGCCAGTGCCTCACGCAAGCTAGGCAAGTGCTCTACCACTGAGCCCCAGCCCCAGCCCTCTGCTTTCCTCTTGAATAGCTGTCTGATGTTCCATTGCAATGACTGGACCACGGTCTATCTAATCCATCCTCTAGAGCCTGTAGATGGTTTTCAGCTAAAATCTTCTATGATAGACAACAAATGGGAATTGGGGGGAAATGTGACCTTGTGAAATCAGGTTTGCTAGACAGCCAGGAAGAAAACTTTGAATAAAACATTTAGTTGAAAATGTTGAACAGGATTAAGGATTTGGGAGAAAATCAGCCATAATCCCCCTTTAACCAATCTAATTTTCTTCTTCTTCTCCTTCTCCTTCTCCTTCTTCTTCCATATTACTTTCAAGTCCTTATCCCCACACATATTTTCACATAGTTGCCATTATAATGTGACTACTTCTCTTTAGAGCTGTAACACATCTCTCTTTCTCTCTGAACTGAAACAGAAAACAGTAAAATATGACATTAACGCTCTCTAATTTCTCCCTCCCTCTTTCTCTGCACTTGCACCCACTCAGCTACCGAGAATTTTGACTACAGCAAAGCTGTTGGTGTGGGAATTTGACACAAACATCTTCCCATGTGTTTCTGTATTTGTAAACTCTATTCGCGTCTGAACTACTTTAAAGCAAGCCTTCAGTTTATTTTTGTATCTGCCCCCACTTTACTGTGGGCACTTACTTGTTTGAGCTACAACCTGTTGTAGCTCAGCAGAAGGTCTTGTAAGAAGGTTGCAGCTTTTATGGAGGAGGTTCTGCTACAGAGGGACTTGTAGAGAGGAACAGCAACGAAGAGACCTCCTTCTCCAGAAAAGGGTGGTCCAACAGAGAGAAGACCTCGGTTTCACTCCAGTCCTCTTCCAGCTATCAGTTAATTGTCTGGACCTGTTGTCACCAGGTAGAAGCCTCCGGTGAAAATCCCACCAGCCTGTCTCCTGGATCCCACGTACCTGCTGCCCAGGTCACTAGGACTTCTTAGCTCTGCCTTGGGCAGGTCTCTTGTATGAGAAACTGGTTCACCAAAATTTTGTAGTTGCGTTAACCCACTAGCAGTGCTCTCGGTCTAACTTCTGTAGGGAATAAGATTGGTTTCATGGGAACAAAAACCTAGACTGAAGTTTAGCACTCCTGGCACCACTGTCATTGGCAATTTGACACATGACACAAAGCAAGAGGCTAGCTGGGCACAGTGGCATACACCTGCAATCCCTGCTACACAGGAAACTGAGACAGGAGGATTCTAAGTTCAAGGCCAGCCTGGGCAATGTAGTGAGATCCTGTCTCAAAATAAAAAGGGCTTGGGCTGGGGTTGTGGCTCAGTGGTAGAGCACTTGCCTAGCATGTATGAGGCACTGGGTTCAATTCTCAGTACTGCATGTAAATAAATGAGTAAAATAAAGGTTCATCAACATCTAAATTTTTTTTAATAAAATAAAAAGGGCTCAGTGGTAGAGTACCCCTGGGTTCGATGTCCAGTACAAAATACAAACAAAGAATAGCCTGTTTACACATCTTTAGATTAAAAGGGTATTTTAAAATTATTTTAACAACCCTTGTAATTCTACCAATCTGCTTTCACAAATTCAAGAAATATGATTTTTTAAAGGATTTTCCATTCTGTACCCAGCATTCTCACTTGGCCTCCTTTTCTGCTTGTCTGTGGTCCGTTTGGTAGCAGGATTCAGTTTGTCACCCTGTGAAGGGGCAGAGGCTCTTCCCTAGACTTCAGTCATGGCTAGCCCTCTTCTCAAAATCCCTGTTAAAGCTGCTGCTCAGCTTTTACTGAAACCTGGATTCTTCCAAGGCTTTGCAACTTTTCTCCAAATGTCTGGACTTCTGCCCACCACATTCCTGTAGTTTCTCCAGTGTGTTCTGAGGTCTGACTCACAGAACCTGCCTGGTCCACCATTCCTCACTGGCAGATCATCAG